CGCTGGTGGAAAATGAAACCATATCTCTTCCTCACCACGTTGTATACTGTCGGGTAGATTGATGTCATGGTCTGAAGCCACAATGGGTCAAATTAGCATCCACCCGGATGCTGTACTCTCAGCCATGGCCCGAAGCAGGTTTCCTCAAACAATTGTCTTTGAGCAGGTGAAAGCTTCTTTGCAATTGTAGTGGCCAGGCTGACTTTATTTCTCAAGGTCAATTGAGCCGAAAAAAATTTCTACAAAAACAATAAACATACCAAGTTAGATATACCAAAAACTACACTGTGAAGATATACCAAAAACAATAAACATAAAAAGTAGTAGTTTATTCTTGAAACTAAAATTTGCAACACTGTTTTGTCTTTTGGTTGAAATGAAATCGCAACGAGAGAATCGCAACGCGAGATGACAATCGCAACGAGAGAATCGCAACGCGAAATGAAAATCGCAACGAGAGAATCGCAACGCGAAATGAAAATCGCAATGCGATTTTGGTTTCGCGTTGCGATTCTCTCGTTGCGATTTCATTTGCGTTGCGATTCTCTCGTTGCGACAGTCATTCTCTCGTTGCGATTTTCATTTATCTCGTTGCGACTCTTCTGCAAATTGAAACTTGAATGGATTGCATACTTCAACCAAAAGACAGAACAAAGACAAAGACAAATACTAACTTGAAAATCGCAACGAGAGAATAGCAACGCGAAATGAAAATCGCAACGACAGAATCGTAACGCGAATGAAATCTAAGTGAAATGGTTAATCTATTATTGAAATGACCAGTAAACTTATCATCAGTTTCAATATGAAAAACCTACAATAATGCAAACATTTCAAAATAAAAATAATTAAAAAAACTAACCCTCGGAGGTTGATTTCCATTTCTGAATATTGTGAGGATTTCTGACCGTGAATGGTTGTGAGGGATTTCGCCGGAGATGGGGACGGAAATCTTCGGAGATGGGGGACGGATTTCTTCGCCGTAGAGAGTGAGAGATGGAGATGGGACTGAGTTGTGATTTTAGGTTTTAGGTTATGAGTTGCGATTACGGGATTTTGTCTTAATATTCTTTTTGTAATTTGAAATAAAATACGCGTAGCGATTTAATGGCGCTTTAAATATCGCGTTGCGATTTACGGATACGCGTTGCGATTTTATGTATTATCGTTACGATTTACGGATACGCGTTGCGATATACGGATACGCATTGCGATTTACCCATACGCGTTGCGATTTACGGATACACGTTGCGATTTACGGATACGCGTTGCGATTTATGTGTTCGCGTTGCGATTTTCATATTCGCGTTGCGATTATGGAAAATCGCAATGCGAATTTGTACTATCGCATCGCGATTTTCAAGAATCGCGTTGCGATTTTGGAAACTGATTTGCGATTCTGGAAACTGATTTGCGATTCTGGGGATCGCGTTGCGATTTTTATTTCGCGTTGCGATTTTGTTGGTCATTTTGGCAAATCCAAAAAAAGTTGGTTAAAATCGTATATTATAACTTTTTTTTGGTCACTGAGGCGATTTTCTCTAATAATAAAAACGCTACAAATGGATTGATTACTCATAGCTTAATAATTCGTGTTCTCAATTTCAAACTAAGAAAAAAGAAAAAATGCATAATAACTATATTTACTTGTTCTATATTTTACTCTTATATAAAAAAATACGAATGGATTATAGTTTCAATTAAATAATAAAATGAAGGATAAAATACATCATGGTCACTAAATTTGAGTAAGTTTTTTAACTTTTTATTGAACTTTCAAAAGCTACAAATTGGTTAGTGATGTTATCGATTTGTATCAAAATAGCCACTCGATGTTAATATCTGTTAACGTGACTGACAGAAAGTTGAGCTGGACCGTTAACGACTTACCTAACCCATTGATTGCTTATCTTATCCGTTGATCGAACAATAATGGTCAAACTAGATTCCATTCTTTTTCATCTTTGCTCGACGTTGGGGTGTTCAAACGGGTAATTCAGTTAACCGATCGAACCGAATTACTTAAATTCCATTAACCATATATTTTTTTATTTAACCATTAACCAAACAAAACTTTTCCAATAAAATTTAACTGAACCAAACTAAGTTCAGTTAATTGGTCGGTTAACCGAATTAATTGAAATTTATAAATAATATATATTATATATTAAACATTTAATATTTTTGGTTTATTTGGTTGATTCACTCGATTAATTCAGTTAAAATCGAAGTTTAAACACTTCTAAAGCTAAAAAATATATTAAATATTTAATAATTTTGGTAAATTCGATTAATTAAATGATTTCAAACCGAATTAATCGAAACTAAAATTTGAAAAAAAAAACCATTAATTATTAATCGATCGAGCCTAAAATTAATCCATCAATTAATTGATGGAAATTTCGATTCCATCACTGAATTATGAACGCCCCTGGCTGGACGTTGCAAACTGCTTTCTTCTTCATCCTTTAGAACGTCAAAACACTTATCGGAATTCATTTATCGGAATCATCCGTTTTAAGTGAGTTATACCTATTTACTAACGATATCTGTCTACAACTCGCTGCAACCGGTTCGACACCCTCTCTTGAATCTCATTAAATCCGCTATCAAAATGCAGTTCAAAAACTGCTCCGGTGACCCATCTGCAACTGTCGAGGAAAAACCCAAGAGCTTCAACGATGGTATTTGAGTCTTTGATGTGAGAAAGGAGACATAGACCAGAAGATGAATAGAAGGTAACTCTGTTTACTAACTGTGAAAGAATGAATTACGAAGTGCTTGAATCTTTAACCCATTACAACATGATCTAACAAACTAACCAACCTTTAACAAACTCAGTTAATTTGACTAAACCAACATCAATTAATTACATTATTATATATTCTAACATTTTATGCTTCTTCTCTGTTCTTCTTGAAAAAAAAAATTGAAAGAAAATAGATCTTCTTCTTCTTTCCTTCATTGCTTCTTCACCCTCTTGAAATTAACGTATGATTTGAGAGTTGACGAACAATGCAAAGCCTAGTGAGTATAACTGTGAGCTAGAAATCTTGTACATTGAACAATTTTTTTCCTCGTTGGAAGAGGCTTTCTTCAGTTTTTTTTTCTTCAAGAGTTTTTTTTCTCTTGTTCTTCAGCTTTACTGTCGTTCTTCTTCACTTATTCGGACAATATTTTTGTTGGAAGCAAGGCGGTTAAGCTACGAGCTCTCGAGTGTAATCTGAAGCGAAAGAAAACACCCTATTTTGTCTGGTTGAGGAGAGTAAGGCTGTTAAACTCTTGATTATACCCATATATTTTCTACTATGGACACTTGGTTGTTCAGCTTCAAGCTCCATATACCTTGGAGAAGAAGCATCATATAACGAGGAATACAAATTGTCAACAATTGATCGAGCAATACAATGTCATAGTGTCCATTTCCAGCATTTAACAGCAGTTTACAACCCACTCATATAACAGCTTCCAAAAACAAGCCACTAACAATGAGTGAACTACAATTCCATAGAATTTTCCAGAAACATGGAGATCAACCAACAAAACCAGTGTCAAGAACAACCCAAAACTGTCAGTAGATACCAAACGTTGAAGTAACTATAATATCTAAAGCAACACTAAAGATCAACCCCGGAACCTAAGATGTGTTATTTAACAATTCCTCCCCAAACCATCAATGATAAAAACAACTTGATTCCAATTAACTGAAATTAGAACTGCAACAGTAACAGGCGAGCAACTGGATTCTTGTTAACCAAAGAAAAAACCATATCCTCTTAGGTAATGCCAAACAGATAGATAGCACAAATTGAAAGAAACCCCAAAACCTACTCTTTAAACAAACACCTCCAAACAGAAGCAACCTCAACCAAAAAAATTCAAAACGTATAGAGTTTCGAAGAAAGAAAAAACAACGAAACACAGCTTTCGATCGAAAGAATTCCTAACAACCACTCATCTACTCTTCTAACAACGAGTTAGCACGAATATACTTTCTTACGGTTCAACAGGAAACTCTTACAACAAAAACATAGATCGAAGAACTGATGCACATGATAAAAAAAACAAAGCGAGTACCATAACTAATCGAGTAAGGAAAACGAGAACATGCTGAAAAGTTTGGGATTTGGTTTATGAGTCACCTGCGTGATCTTCATCTATAGATCTTGAAGTGCTTTTGAGAGAAGCAATAAACAGAGAAGCTCTAAACAGAAGCAAGCATAACAGCTTCAGCTGAAGGAAAATGAATCAAATCAGGATCTTTTTGGCGAATGATACCTGTGAGAAAGGAGACATAGACCAGAAGATGAACAGAAGGTAACTCTGTTTACTAATTGTGAAAGAATGAATTACGAAGTGCTTGAATCTTTAACCCATTACAAACAATACTTATATAGCACCACTAAACCAAGTTTAACAACTTGATCTAACAAACTAACCAACCTTTAACAAACTCAATTAATTTGACAAACCAATATCAACTAATTACATTCTATTATATTATATTTCTAACATTTGAGAATCTGGGATTGGGTTTAATGAGCTTAAACATTACAGGCGAAAAGAAGTTGAATTATGATATGAATCGTAGTTTGAAGTTGAAGGAAATGAAGAAGAAGATGAGATAAGTGAGTGAGAATATCCCTTTAAAGAATGGATACTACTATTGCATACATCAAAAGATGCTGGAGTGAGATTTATTATTGCACCGTAAAAACAGATGATTATTACTATTACATGAAGAATATCCCTTTAAAGAATAGATATGTGTGAGTTTATCCATGTTTACAACAAAATAAATGCATTAAAGCAAGAAAAATGAGATGGAAGTTCTTCAAAGCATAAGCTACATGACAAACATAGCCCCATCACCAGCTTTCTAGTTTTCATTTTTCAGCAGCACTTGCAACCTACAAATATTCTCTGGAAGAAGATTGAATCAAACATTCTAAGCTTTGATTCGATGAGATCCCCACTTAAAATGGATAAAGTTCTGGTAAATGGGTTCCGGTAAGAGTTTTGACGTTCTGAAGGATGATGAAGAAAGCGGTTTGCAGCGTTGAGCAAGGATGAAGAAGAATGAGTTTTGGTTTAACTATTATTGACCGGTCAATGGATTAGGTAAGCAAGCGATTTTTCACTCAACGAAAACATACTCAACGTTTAGTGACCATTGGTGTAGTTTACCCTAAAATGAAATACTTGTCCGCCATTTTTACATTTCCTAATTCTAACTCCCGAACAAGAAAAAAAAAAGGATGAAAGGAAGATCTATATATTTTTTACTCGAGTTTAAGGCAAAACGGAACAACAATGGGGTGTTCAATTTCAGGTTTGAATGCATTGTACGACGCCGTTCATGGAGGAGGGGACGTCTGGATCAACGACAACAGGTTCAAGATCGTAAGGCAACTCGGTGAAGGTGGGTTCGCCTATGTTTACCTGGTGAAGGAAGTCGTATCCGATTCCTCTTCAGCTTTGGCTAGTGGATTAGCCAAAAAAGTTAAGGACCCTTCAAACCTCTCGGGTTCGTTCTTCAAAAACACATTTCTTCGTTAGAGAACATATGAAGGATGGTGACCTCAGCTATGCTGTTTGCAGGATTTTGCTTTATTTTATCATTCAGAACAATGAGCAGATGGATTTTGTTCGAGAGGAGATTCGTGTTTCATCCCTGTTTAGTCACCCTAATCTGCTTCCGCTTCTTGATCATGCTATCATTTTTGTTAAGGTAATTATGCAGATCTCTTATTTTAATTAATCTTGAAAGCTGTTACATGCATCCTAAATGTTTCTGAAATTTGTTTACTCATTTGCCCATAAAATTGGTGTAAAACTTGCAATGGGAACTACTTTTCAAGATTCTGGCGTGTTTGCTTCGTTGCTTTTCTTTCAAATTACTTTTCATGTAATTGCATTTGTCTAAAATATTTTGATTTCATTTGGCTAGTCTACACAAGAAGGATCATCGAACCATGTATGATTTCTAGAAAGGAATTTTTTTCTGCCTCAGATGTTCTTCAAATATTTCGGCAGGTGAGTAAACCAATCTTTTTTTTTAACTATTTGACGCCATTCCTTTTGTAATACAATTTTAAGGGCCTGAAATAGCATTCTCAGTTATATGGCACTTCTTAGAAGTGGATTTGATGCATTTATTTATACTGTAACTTCTGGCTTCTGTTTTCCATTGTTTGCTCTTTTTGTGTATTGGAGTTTCTCTTAATAGTGTTTTCTATTTTGGGATCCATTGATGTCACAACTTGTAAGGAATGGCTAGAAGCATTTTGACTGGACCAAATTGTTTCAGCAGCTGTGTGCAGGACTTAAACATATGCACAATTTTGAGCCTCCGTATGCACATAATGATGTCAAGCCTGGTAATATTCTTTTATCCAGTAGAAAAGGGAAATGGCCATTTTCAATATTGATGGATTTTGGGAGTGCTCGTCCTGCAAGGAAGCAAATTCGCTCTCGTTCGGAGGCACTACAGCTTCAGGTGCTCATTTTTCTTTATGTTTCTTCATTGCTTAAAAGTCTTCTTATTTTTCTCTGGTTAGAATTTCTTTCTTATCTTTGCTGGAAAATAACCCCAAGCTCTTCTAGTTCCTTAAATCTGTACGCATGATGCTCTACGTCTATCAACAAAGATGTGTTTCTATTTAAACATATAAAAGTGATGTATAAATACATTATTGGCTTATTCATATGATGCATTTACCCTTTCATCAAAGTAAAATATGTCAAAAATGTTTTTTTCTTGATAATAAATCCATATGTAGGAATGGGCATCTGAGCACTGTTCAGCACCTTTCCGAGCCCCTGAATTGTGGGATTGCCCCAGTGATGCAGATAATGATGAAAAAACTGATATTTGGTCGTTGGGTTGCACTTTATATGCAATAATGTAAGAATTATTACTTTTTACATGCACGAATACGGTGTTAGTTGTAGTATGGCTAGCCTTTTTTGTTCTTGAACTCTCCTTTCATTATTGTTCATGTTCTTTGTCAAACAATATGGTAAACAAAGTATTTGGGAAATCTTATAACTGAATAATTTTATTAGTTAACTTTTGTCTTAAACCAAGGAGTACATTTAAGTATTTGATGTTAAAAGTTTTATAATGTAAAAAATGAAGTGTGTACTCTTTTTTTATGAAATTTTCCACTGGTGCTGATTTGTGCAATGATGATTATATGCTAACTGATTGATTGAGATTTGGTGCTCCACAAGTTTATGCATTTATATGCTAATCATTATTTGCCAACTTGATGACATTTAATTTATGTAGTGCAATGCCTATTAAATTGATATTATTGCACACAATAGTATTACAGAAAGGGTGAGTCTAGTAAGTTATTTTTTGATGACACTTGTGATAAACTCTCCGTTTTCGAAACTTCATATCCTTCCTGAAAGTCTTTGAATGAATGGACTTTCATTGGAGTTCCATTGTGTCTGGTTCCATACATGCATTTTTGCTTTTATCCTCTTCAGGTATCCTCAGCAGTGAACCATTTCAGTATATGTAGTTAACAGCTTTAATTTAGCTATTTACGCTATTTATTTTTATTTGTTCTAGGTATGCTGTATCCCCTTTTGAGTATGCAGTTGGAGAATTCGGAGGAAGCCTGCAATTGGCTCTTGTAAATACACAGATTAAGTGGTCAGCCGGACCTAACCGCAATATCCAGAAGATCTTCGACAATTTGTTACTTGGATGCTTCAGCCTCAAGCTGCTCTTCGCCCTTGCATAGATGATATTATGTTTCATGTTGACAAGCTTGTCTCGAAGTTTTTGCTGTGATATCGAATGAGGTAAGAAGGAAAGGGCATCCAACCAATGATGTACAAGTTGACCAACACACACATTCAAGAAATTTTGTATCATGGATATCAATCACTTGCCATTGTCCTTAAATTAGTTCATAAGTGAAAGCAATGGGAGTTCCTTATAGAACATACATAGATGATCATTTTTGGTGAAGCTGTGCATAAATTCGTTTTCCATAATTATTTAACTCCATGATCTGTAATTTGTTGAAGAACAGGTTTTGCTGTGAATCCCAGATTCAGTTTTATAGGGTAGCCTCAATAATTTCTGTTATCCGTTCAGACATGTTAATAAACAATGCCTGTTTCAAGATTTTCTTACCAGTCATGTTTTCTGCAAAATGTTTGAATTATTTGAAAATGTGAACCTTTGTTGCCAAAACTTTTCCTTCTTCAGAAATCCATATTTGACAAACGTTTAAACATGAGTATTGAGATATGATCATTTAAAACCTTCATATATATGTGAAATAACTTTTAGAAGAATAATATGCTCGTGTTTGACCAATTGAGAATCAAAGCTCAACGCACACATGGAAATATAAGAAAAATATTATCGACTATGGACTGATTGGAGTAGAATAATGGCATATGATATTGGGCATCCAGATGGTTTCAATTTAGTTGAATAATCCATTCAGTTAGTAAAAAAGATTGCTGAAATAGAAATTGATGATTTTCTATCCTATATAATTGAAAGCATCAAATGTACAAATTTTATACCTTACTCAACATGTTAATGTTTAGCTCAGGAGTGTGCTAATCTCTGGATGAAAAAAAAATGAGTTTTAAATATATGAATAATTGATTTTTATTTTGTAACTATTAATAGTCGGAATTCAATAAAGAAACGCCTTATAGTCGGAGTATCAATTTACATTTTTTTATAGTTAAGAGACTCAATAAAATAACGTCATATAGTCGGAAACTAGTTTATAACTTTTAATAATTATAAACTTTTAATAATTCAGAAAATCAACGAAATAGGATATGTACTTCACCCACGACAAATGTGATTGGTTCTTATAAAAAAGTATGCTTAGGGGCACTAGGCGTGCGCGCAAATAAGCATGGCCTGAATGGATGATCTATACGTTTTTGTTGTAAAATACAAGGGTGCAGGCATACCTTGACGCACAATGTATATATATGAACTAATCCGTAGTGCATTTGGAATGAAAAAAAATACATTTCAACATTTTGTTTGATGGCATTGTCGCAGTCGTCTTTCGGGTGGGCTCGGAATTAAACTTCGACTTGAATAAAATGTTAGAGCTACCACCGATCATTTATTTTTTTTAAAAAATAATTTGGTTGATCGGACACCATCTTACATTATCTGCATTTTACTAGAAATACATCGGATTCGGGAGTCGGTTATAGTCAATGAAGGATTAACACCCTTGAACTGCCCTTTCGGTACCATTTAATTTGTCGGTTGTCTTAGTTGCGAAAATTAAAATTTAAATTGAAATTTAAAACATTCGATTCAAATTACTTACCTTAGATTGGTTGAAAATATCCTAAAAAGTCAAAAATGTTAGATAAGAAATAATAAATAAATATTAAATAAATCAAAGAAAAAAATAATAAAATAAAATAAAAAATAAATCAAAGGAAAAAAGATAAAAATTAAAATAAATTTTTTAAATAAATCAAAGAGAAAAAAAATTAAAATTAAAAGTAATAAAATAAAAATAATAATAAGAAGTAAAAATAAATAAATAAAATAAAAAACATACTAAAATTAACAAGAAAAAATGAATAACTAAAAAATGATAGCTAAAAATTGAAAGGACCAAATTGAAATAAATTGAAATTGATGGATTAAATTGGTACTAAAAACAAGCTGCAAGAGAAAAAAATTAAGGGGCCAATTTGCAAAATATAAGAAATGTAAACAGGGATTAAATTGAATAAATTAAAAATTCAGAGACAAAATTAAAATAGGAGACCAAAATGATTTGCACATCAAAATGATAGGGACTGCGGAAATAATTTAAAAATTTACTAATTGCAATGTGGTCCCTCCCTTATAAATACCCAAAACCCAAAAATATATTCATTTCAAAACCAAACTAAAACAAAAAACACTCCCGAAACACTCTCTCCTTAATCAACCGGTCGTAGGCCGGGCAGCCTCCGACCACCCCCTCCGCCGTCCGATCTGCCGCTCGCGACGGTCGAAAAAACAAACTTACCGAAAATGCTCCTCCCGTCATCCCGAAGCAAGATCCGAATCCCAAATCACCACGACAAAGCCCAAACGACGTAGATCTAAGAAAAAACACTCGGTTTTTACCTTTTCCGACGACTCTTCAGTTTTTGAAGATACTTGTCTCCTCTCGATTTCGACGAATGGAACGATTTCTTTATGTTTTTTTCTTTGCTTTTTTGTGGGTTTCGAATGGTTTTTTGATGATTGTGTTTCCTTGTTGATGTTCTTATATAGCCTCAAAGGGAAATATTTTCCCTTGAATCTCGATGGCTGACCCCGATCTTGTTGAGATTTCTGCATGTACTTGGGTTTTGTTAGGCGTTACGAAACGTGTTTGTTCCGATTTTTGTTTCGATCTTGTTGCATGTTTGACTGGTTTCCATTTTCGACGATGCATGATGCTTATGGCTGTTAAGATCACTTCTGGTCGTTGAGATTGCTTTCTGGTCGTTGGATTGGGTTAGATCCAACGGGCCAGATTGATCTATGCATTTATCCTCTTTCTACCGTTTGACCTATTCGGCACCTTGGCTGAACATGAAACCTAATTAGGTTAGGGTTAGATCAGACCCTTTACCCGATTGAGTTTCTCTAGGACCCGAACGTTGAACCCATTGGGCCTGTAAAAAAACAACAAAAAAACTAAATAAAGAAAAAATATTAATAAAATAATAAATAAAAATAAAAAATATTAATATAATATATATAAAAAATCATTTTTAAAACTATATATCATATATGCTTTAAAAAATTGTTTCCAAACCATATAATACATATAAAAAAATGTTTTCAAAACTATATAATATATTTTTAAAAATATTTTCAAAACTATATATTATATATTTTCAAAATGTTTTAAAAAACTATACATTAAATATATTTTCAAAATGTTTTCAAAAGCTATATAATACATATATTTTCAAAAATGTTTTCAAAACTATATATTATATAAGTTTTCAAAATGTTTTCAAAAACTATATATTATATATATATTTTTTAAAATGTTTTTTTAAAAACTATATATTATATATATATTTTCAAAATGTTTTTTTAAAAGTATATATTATATATGTTTTCAAAATGTTTTCAAAAACTAGATATTATATATATATATATATATTTCGAAAACCGATTTTTTTTTAAAAAACTATATGTTTAAAAAAATTCTTTCAAAAACTATACAATATTATTATTATATATAAAAAACTCCGAACGAAAATGAGTGTCTACAGGCATCATATAAAAAAGGGATTGCCCATATTAACTGGGTTCAAGTTATTTTTCTTAAAACACATCTTTATTAATATAGTACAAAAAATCAACTTACTAATAATCAGTTGCTCTAATGAGACGAAACATTAAATTTTTTAAGTAAGATCATGAGAGATTTAAACTTTATTATTTGCAAATAGAACAAATTGAATTGAAATGATTGCTATCATAATAGACCTTTGTTAAATTTGATCTGAATTAATCGATCGATAGAATACAATTGATTAATTAAAAAGAAGAACCGCATAAAAGATTAACTTGGTTAATGGTGTCATTTTTCTCGAGGTTCCCCCACCACTTGGGAAGCACAGAGGTTGTCGGGTTTTGATTGGTTGCCTGGAGTAATTTACAATTAAGAATACTGAGAATTAAATTATAGATAATGAGGTTGAAGTTTGAACTGGTTAGATTAAATTTTGGATTAGAATAATTTCAAACAACCAAGCTGTTTATGACCAAATTTAATGCAAATTCGTTGTCTGTGTTATGAGTTGCAAGATTCTGGTAAAGAACTAAAGGTGTGAGCCCCAAGGAATAGGCTCATCCTAAACAAAAGATGCTAGCCACAAGATAAAATGGGGCACCAATTGTTTTCTTGCGCTTTTCACCTTTTGGATTCTCTTGGGGTCCAGCTCTCCTTCTTTCACACCTCACGCTTTTAGTATTAAAATCCACCTTCCCTTACTTCACTATTTAGGCGAAACAAAGTCATGGATAGAGCGCGAGTGTGTATCTAGAAATATTTTTGAGGATATACATATATTTATTAATAATATAAATTTTTGTATGGATAAACAAAAATAAGATTTTAAGTTGATATAATTAATAAAATAAATAATTAATTAAAGAAAATTTATAACCAACGGTCATGTATATTGTTTTCATTTCAACCCTTTACTTTTGGCTGCCTATGGATGTATATTTGGTAAAAATCCATTCTAATTATCATAAAAATGTTCGTTTTTACCGAAATCTCCTTTATATGTACATCACTTTGTCCCTTGAACATAGTCGAGTGTGAATCTTTTGGCTTTGAAATCACGTGGAACTTTCATAGAAAAGTCGGAAATTGTGGCCAAAATCTACAAAAAAAGGGTTCTTTTTCAGTAACAACCTGTTTCTTTCCAAAACACACTGTTTGAATCATTTGAATCTTGATCACTTAAAATACTATAAATACTTCATATACTGACTCAGCTTTCCTCTGCGGTGACTGTGATAAATGTATCCACGGTGGTAATTCCACCGTCTTGTCGCACCACCGTGTGTTAATTTGTGCTGCCTGTGAGGCTGCTCCAGCTGCGGTCACCTGCAGTGCCGATGCAGCGTCTCTTTGCATCGACTGTGACTTCCAGATACACTCGGTGAGTCCTTTGGCTCGCTTCCATACTAGGGTCCCTATACCTCCACTGTCGGGTTTAACCTGTTCATCCTCAAGTGTTTACCATGATCAGCCGCCATCCACAATGTTTGAAACGCCTACTACAGAACCAGATCAAGAAATCGATGAAGCCGAAACAGATTCATGGTTATTGCTTGAGCCTGAAAACACTGAAAACCAGAGCATGAGTAGATTTACGTAGGGCAAACAACCTGATAAGTACACCGACGTTGTCGATACATGTACCGAGTCATACGGACAAGAACAGTCCATCGATCAGCAGTGTGAGTGTGAATTATCCAGAAGATAGTGGAAATGATAGTGTTGTTCTACTTCAAACTTTGAAATCTAATGATCAACCGTTGCAAGAACACCAATTACAGAGTGTTCACTTCAATTCAGACCATAGGGGATCAAATGCTGCTGCATTCACTAATCTCCCTTCAAGCAGTCTAAGCGTAAGATCGTACACATTCTTAACTTTACATATGTTCTCATGACAGCAACTTATGATCTGTAAACCCAAAACTGATCCATGTAAATATCTTTTGTTCGATTCATGGTTCTACACTTCTCCTGGTAAATGATTTTTAAGCTTTATCAACAGTTCATTAATGGTGGTTGTTGTTGAGGGTGAAATTTACTCTGAGGGAGCTCAACTGCATCAAACTAATGGCATTTATCATATATATGTAAGTCCATTCCATTACTACAAAGCTCTCTGTGAAGTTTCTCACAATCCAAAAACAGCATTAGAATTTAACGATTATTATAGTTTCTAAATTACATTTTTGGATAAAGTACACAAATGATCCCCGATATGAGATGTTACTTTCTTAAGTCTTATGATTATATGATGTTGTTTTGCTGAGTCCTTCGACTATTAAAAGTTGCAAAATGACATATGTTTCAAACTCGTATTTTTTTTATTAAAAATTAAAGATAGTACGAGTTAGATGTTAACATGTTTATTGAGTTATGATAATCATTTGAAAATTTGAGATTTGGTTTTATCATACCATAGTCAACATGTTAACATCCACCTTAGATTATTGTCAGTCTTTTAACATAAAAAGAAGAGTTTGAAACATATGAATAGTTAGATAATCATTTTGTAATTTTTAATAATCGAGAGACACCACAAAATAATGTCTTATAATTAAAGAATCATTTCTTAAATTTTAATAGTCGAGAGATATAACAAAGTAATGACATGTAATCAGTTGTCTCAAGGTTTATAAATCTATTTGTTACTCCATTTAGGTTCCTATTGTTGGGGAAAACGGGTTATTTCCCACATGAACGTAGTTTTAAAATTGACCTAAAATGTCAAGATTAAAACCACCAAAGGTTGCACAGCGGATAAACCTGTCAAACTATTGAATATTGAAACACAATGGAAAAGAACCGAATAAAAAATAATAAAGGAGATAACACACCAAATTTACGAGGTTCGACGAGAATATCGTCTACTCCTCGGGCACCACACCGGATGATAACTTCACTATATCACCAATATTACAACAAATGGAATTCTTTGGAATTCCCAAAGTGGGAGAATGAAGAATACAAGAGAAAGAGAGAACTTGTTTTTGGGATGATTTCTAATGGAAATACTTAGGCCTATTTATAGTTGAGTTTCAAGAACAATATGTTCAAAGTTTGGCCACCTACCAAAGAATTTTCCAATGTGTACAAGTTAGCCACCAAATATGAAATTCACATGTTCAAAGTTTGGCCACCAACCAAGATGAAATTTCCAATAAGTTGGCCACCAACCAAGATAAAATTTCCAACTTGTCAACTTAATTTCTAGACAAATCTAACAAATCTCCACCTTGGCTTGAAATTACCAAGCCTACTCAACTTCTTCAACTCCCCAAATTTGTAGTGCCTCTAATTGCACTCACAAGCGCCACACACCCGAAGGTGTTCATACTTTCAGGATGTTAATCAAGTTCAAACAATGATTGAACTTGATTACTGTTACCACCTTGGTCATCATATCTGCAGGATTTTCTGATGTCGCAATTTTCTGAAGTAGAATATTTCCTTCTTCAAAGATCTCCCGCACAAAGTGATACCTCACGTCGATATGCTTAGTCCTTGAATGGTAGACTTGATTTTTCGCTAAGTGAATAGCACTCTGACTGTCACAATAGAGACTAATGTGACTTTGAACAACTCCCAAGTCTTCCATCAACCCGTTAAGCCAAATTGCTTCCTTTACAGCCTCTGAAATTGCCATGTATTCTGCCTCTGTAGTAGACAAGACCACCGTAGATTACAATGTAGACTTCCAACTTACTGGGGCTTTAGCAAGAGTAAACAAATACCCAGTAGTTGATCGACGCTTATCCAAATCACCAGCATAATCGGAATCAACATATCCAACCATACACTGACCAAGTGCTTCATCCTGTTCAAAAACTAAACCAACATCCACGGTTTGTTGGAGATACCGTAGAATCCATTTCACAGCTTGCCAATGTCCTTCTCCAGGATCTTGCATGTACCTGCTCACAACTCCAACTGCTTATGAAATGTCAGGACGCGTACACACCATTGCATATATCAAGCTCCCAACTGCATTAGCATATGGAACTTTTGCCATATACACTCGTTCTTCGTTAGTTTTAGGAGATAATTGAGAACTAAGTTTCAAATGAGAAGCCAATGGGATACTTACATGTTTGGTATTTTTATTCAGGCCAAAACATTGTAATACCTTTCTCAGATACTGCTTCTGTGTTAAACAAAGCTTCCCTCTCTGTCTATCTCTTCTTATCTCCATACCAAGAATCTTCTTGGCCTCACCTAGATCTTTCATCTCAAACTCTTGATTCAACTGAGCCTTTAATTTGTCTATCTCCTTTTGACTCTTCGAAGCGATCAACATATCGTCAACGTACAAGAGAAGATAAATGAAAGATCCATCTTTGAGCTTTTGCAAATACACACAATGATCATATTTGCTTCTAGTATACTTTTGCCTCCTCATAAAGCTATCAAATCACTTGTACCACTACCTCGGAGATTGCTTCAATCCATATAGCGATTTGTTCAGCTTACAAACCCATTTCTCACAACCACCATCTTTGTATCCTTCTGTCTGTGTCATATAGATCTCCTCTTCTAAATCACCGTGCAAGAAAGCCATCTTTACATCAAGTTGAGCTAGCTCCAAATTCAACTGTGCTACCAAGGCCAACAATATTCTAATGGAGGAATGCTTCAACACAGGGGAAAATACTTCATTGTAGTCGATTCCCTCCTTTTGAGCGTAGCCTTTAGCTACCAACCATGCCTTGTAGCGAACATATTTCTTGTTATGAGATCCATCTTTCTTTACAAATACCCACTTGCATCCAATGGCTCTTTTACCTTTCGGTAATTGTGCCAGTTTCCAAGTGTCGTTCTTTTGGAGAGATTGCATTTCTTCATCCATGACACTTTTCCACTTATCACTTTCCAAGCTTTGTATTGCTTCTTGGTAAGTGATAGGGATATCATCATCAACAACTGGAAGAGCATAGGCCACCATATCAACAAATCGAGCAGGTCTACGAATTTCTCTCCTTGGCCTTGTAACTGCAAGTGTTTCTGGTGTCTCCAATGGTTCTTGGGTTTGAACCTCTTCATCGTCTGATTCTTCTATTGGAGTTGAAGAATCAGCTGCATCAACTTCTGGGATCATCATCTGCTGAAACTCCACCTGTTTTGGAGTATGCTCCACCTGCTGCGGAGTACTACTTGTCTAGACAGCTTCACTTGTTACCTTCTTTACTAGGGCATATTCATCAAAGGTAACATCTCTCCTACAAATTATCTTCTTGGTGTCTAAACACCAAAGGCGGAATCCCTTCACTCCATGGGTGATTCCCATAAAGAGAGCCTTATTTGCTCTCGGATCAAGCTTGGATTCCTTCACATGATAATAAACAGTGGATCCAAATAAATGTAAGGAATCATAATCAGTAGCAGGTTTTCCAGACCATACCTCCAATGGTGTTTATCCTCTTATCGCTGATGACAGCAGACGATTAATGAGATGGCCAGCATATGTCAGCCCAAAATGCCTTGCCTAACCCAACATTAGACAACATACATCGAACTTTCTCCAATAGTGTTCGATTCATACGCTCTGCCACCCCATTCTGTTGTGGTGTATGTCTAACAGTGAAGTGTCGAACAATACCATACTCATGGCAAACGTCAAAGAATGGGTCACTTTTATATTCCCCTCCATTGTCCGTCCTAAGACATTTGATCTTTCTACCAGTCTGGTTCTCAATCATATTTTTCCATTTCAGGAAAATTTGAAGCACTTCAGCTTTAGACTTCATCGGATACACCCAAACTCTTCTGGAAAAGTCATCTACAAAAGTTACAAAATAATGGTTTCCTCCCAAAGATGATGTCTTTGAAGGACCCCATACATCTGAGTGAATATAATCTACAATACCTTTTGTATTATGTATAGTGGTGCCAAACTTCACTCTCTTCTGCTTTCCCAAAACACAATGCTCGCAAAAGTTCAATTTGCAAGCCTTTTCACCTTTCAACAATCCTTTCTTTGCCAGAATTTGCAAGGATTTCTCTCCAGCATGTCCCAACCGCATATGCCACAACTGGGTTGTGTCCAAATCATCACCTCCGGAAGCTGCTGCAACTGCTCCAATAATTGTACTACCTTGGTAGTAATACAAATTATTTTTCCTGATGCCCTTCATCATCACAAGTGCGCCATATGTGACTTTTAAAACTCCATCTCTCATAGTGGCTACTGAGCCTTTGGATTCTAAGGCTCCCAACGAGATGAGATTTTTCTTCAAACTGGGCACGTATCGGACATCCGTCAGAAATTTGGTTGATCCATCTTGATTCTTCAATCGAATTGAACCTATCCCAACAGTTTTAAAGACATTGTCATTGCCCATATAAACAACTCCTGCATTTAGTTCCACTAAATCGGAGAACCAATCCCGATTAGGGGACATATGATAGGTGCAACCCGAATCTAATATCCACTCATCGGAATGGAATGTTGTTGATGAAGCAACCAATGATATGTCAGAGTCATGTGCATCATGCTCTGCAACACATGCATCTGGAGAAGCTTTTCCTTTCTTCTTCAGCTTCGGACAATCTTTCTTCCAATGGCCTTTCTCATGACAAAAGGCACATTCATCTTTTCCCAGT